GCTCTACAACCTTATTCTAAGCACTACAAAGTCCCTCCAAAAACTTAATTCATATTTAAAAATTAATATCCAGTGGCATCTGCAAAATCCACCCCACTGTTAATTCACTTTGGCAAATACTTTGTCTTTTGGCTTCTCTTTACTAACATTCTTACTAAAGCCCACCCTATGGGGCATCACAAAATAGAATGGCTTACATTGACTTGAAAATATTTTTTTCAACCCCTTAGACAATTTTACCATCTGTACAAAACAGCTTTCAAAAGTTGTATTTGTCCTCTTATAGTGCACCCACTTGTTCACGTAGAGCCTTCCAGTTCAGAAGGGAATCAGTTTTAATTAACATATCCAAAAGCACAGGTTAACTGATTTTATCAAAAACCCTATGCATTTATAACTTTAAGTCAAGTGAAAATACAGTGTGGACCTTGTTTGAATCTCAATCAAGAGATGTAGGAGTTTGGATCAGGGTAGCAGTGCAAGCAATAAAGACACAAGATCAGCTTTGGTATATATTTTGAAGAAATAGAACAGGATCATCTATATTCTCAAGTCTCTCTGCTTCCTTAGGAATTTATCATATTTTGTCTTTTTCAGAAAATAAGAAAGGTGAATGAAAAATACTAGATTCAAGAACTGAACAACAGAATATTAAACTTACCTATGATTCTTACCAAACTTGCAGACCTAAGGATATCATTTCAATTTTCTGGCCTCAGATGTTTTATCAGTAAAATTACAATATTTACACTTTCTTTGCCTTGCCTTTCTCACATGACCATTATGAAGTTCCAATATCTTAAAGATAAAGCTCTCAAAACTAATTTTAACTTACTATATTAATTAAAACTAATTTTAACACACTAGATTAACAAAAACTCTGCAATTTCACTGTACCACACACAGACACTTAATGGTTCACTAAATGCTTAAAACTAGTAAACTACTCTTCAATACCCACATTTTACTGCTACCAGATTAATTAGGTGTGGTCCAGGTTAGCCACCTGGATGAAAATAATTTATAACACACACATACATGTATATATATACTTACGTATATGTATACACACACATAGATGTAACATTGAGTTTGTTTCAAAAGCCTAAGTCCTTACACTTTAATAAAACAGCAAGTTATACATACAAACTTGTAATGATTTATAGGAGATCCACACAGAACTCCAGAGTAACTATAGTCACTCATTGCACTGAGGCCTGAGTAAATTAGGGAGAAGACACAGAGGCTATGGTAGCCTAGGCAAGAGATGGCCACTCAATAAAATAAATCTTGGTCATTAATCAAGTGATTTGTAAATTAATATATATGTTTTCAATTAAAATGGTTAAGACACATCATTAGTAACAGTTTTCTGCTTTAATCTCTTTCAATTAATTAACCATGTATACACTGCTTCATTCATTTAAAAAGCATATCAATGCCTACTGTAATGGTTCTCAATATTAACTATACATAAAAATCTCCTGTAGGGCCCTTTTTAAAAATGCAACTGTCTAGGCCCTATCCCTAGGGATTTTGATTCTCCAAGACTGGAGTGAGGCCAGAGTCTCTTTTAGACAACAGAGTTGATAAACACTGGCCTGCTAATTGATGTACACTCTAACAATAAGGAAGTAAAAAACTAAAATAAAACATATTTTCACTTCAAAGAGTTCATAGTATAATAGCAGTGATAGGTTTTTTAAAAATCACAAGGTGCTAAATTTACACTATAGATAAATGTCAGGTGCCATACGAAAACAAAAGAGAAAAAATAAATAAAATAACCTGGGTAGGTAGATGAGGAGGCAGTGGCCAGAGCCAGTTTCACAGTGGTAGTGACTGACACGATAAAGGTTAAATTGGGAGTTCTTCAATTACATTAAAGGTGGAAGAAAGCATTCTAGTCAGAGGCTACAGAACAAGAAAAAGCATAAGATATGTAACAATATAATGCTTTCAGGGAGCCTAAAATGCCTTAGGAACCAGAGAAATGAGGATGGAAAGGTAAAAAGGAACTCCTTCTGAAGGGAACTATATGGAAGTTAAGCAGTTTGAAATGAATTGTATAAAGCAGTGGCTTAAAATTGTACTTCAAAGAATTCAAGTTCATATCTTTCACAAATAACAGGGGCATTGAAATACATGCTGAATTTAAAACAAGATGTAGTAAATTGATGTGCTCATCTTTTTTTTTCCTATGTTCTTCTTATAGTTATTTCATTGGCTGCAAAGGGTACAGCTTTACACTTTTTTTTTAAAGCTAACAATGCCCTCATATCTGTCTGTGGATATTATACAACAAAAACCAAATATTTTTAAAATTTATCTTCACAGATATATAACTTGTTATAATTTATAAGATAAATATATGCCAAAAAGTACATTCTTTTACTTTTCCTAATAAGTGTTATTTACCAGGGTTTCACATAAAGTTTTTTTTGTTTTTTTTTTTTTTTGTAGAGAACCCCTGCTCTAGGGAAATCAACATAGAATTTTTAACAGGAAAATGACAAAATTAACATTGTATTTCAGAAATAACATTATTACAACAAACTGACGTGTAATGAGGTAAAACAAAAAGTGAGGAAATGAGTTAAGAAGTGGTTTCAAGAGGCCACGCAAGAAAATATGATGGAATGAACAAGTACTGGTAATGGACAAAAGAGAATAAATTTCAGAAACACTAGGAAATAGAATGACTTGATGACTCATCAGATAGTAGGGGGGGCGATTTTCTAGATGCACATTTTAATTATGGCCATGTTGAAAAGGTAGAAAAGGAGTTGGCCAGAAGGTGCCAACTCCTCAGAACTCAGAATAAAATGTTCATTGGCACATTTAATCAGTGAGTTGAAATGAAGTCCCCATTTTAGTAATAGCTCTAATTATGGAATTTTCTCAATCCATTTTTATATATTTTATTATAGACTAGGTACCCTATAATACAATTATAACCACTTTTTAAAATTAACTATATTCCTATTCAAAAATGCCATAGTATTTTCCCCATTTAGTAAGACTTCAGTACTATTGGTACATAGTTTATATAGATATCTATCCTTATAATTTATTTGGAAATCATTACCTATTATTGTAATATATGTTATTATAAGATATATTTGTTCCACTATTAAAAAAGGCAATTTTTAAAATTTTAACAATACAATGTACATTTTATCACCCTTTCCAATCTATGCAAATACCTTCACCTTATTGTCTTCTCTCATTTTCCAATAACCTCTTACAGATAAGAAGAGGTGAAATATTTATTCCCATAATACAGATGCAGGAATGAAATTTCAAGGGAGATAAATGCCTTGCCCAAGATAATCTAGCTGGCAAACAATAGAACTTTTACTTAAAATACAAATTTTCTGAATCCTAAGCCAGTGTTCTTCCTACCATGCCATATATTTTTGAAGTAGTACATACTTAACTGCTGCCACTTCCATGACCATCTCTTGTCTGAACAGGTAGATGACTACGTATTCCATTTTATTTTCTTACATTCACATATTTTTCTGAAATATTTGATCTGAATATTTTCTCTACCAGCTTTATATCCTCAAATGCCCATGCCAGTCTGCTTTTTTATACTAATATATCCCTAGCAAAATTCTCCAGAATCACTATTACATCCATGAATTGAGGGAATTTGAAAAAAATTTTCAGAATCTGGGAATAGAAATAGCAATATGTCCAAGTTTAGCGCATCAAAGCCTAATCCCCCTACCTAGTTAGTTCAAATTTGGCCTCTGGGACTCTCTTGCACATTTGCCTCATCACCCCTATTAAGCCATTCTTCAATCTGACAAACTATCTGTTATTTCATATTGAGAAAAAAATCAATATTGTAAAAAAATTTCACAGTGAGTTAAAATTAAATCTGTTTGTTTAATCTAATTCTGAATAAAATTGGCTTTTAAATTATTAATAACTCCAGATTTAATGCTTTTATGACAACCTACTAGGAATACAGGCTGAAGCAATTATTGATACTTATTTCATGTATACATTATTTTTTACTACAAAAACTATTGAATAATTCCAAAAAGAATTTCCTTAAATTATCAATATTTGGTTCTTAATTTCTGTGATTTCTAATTTTACTATTTTTTCTTATGTATTCAAGCACATTTATAAAACTATATTCATTTGTATGAGACAAATGACTTAAAGCTTTTTCTTGCATAAACCATGTCAAAAGTACATTTCAAAGTAACCCAAAAAAGTGCAATAAAGATTATAAATCACTTTAGATCAAAAATGATATTATAATATCTCAACATATTAACATAATGCTTGTTTTATAAATTCTCATCTCATCCTATTGGAAACTATATATTTTTTGCTTATTCATTAGAAATTCAACATCAGAGTATAATTACCTAAAATATTTTCTCACTAAACTGCACATTAACTATTTTTGAGTTCTTACAAGTAGTAAGACCATGAATTTGTTTATATATACATTTATGAAGAGTCTAAAAATCTGGGGATATTTTTATGTTATGTTCATAATTTTAAGGCAATGCCACTGGATCCTTTAAAAAATAGATATATTTATGTAGCCATTATCTACTTCATTCTAGCAACACGTTAATACTTTATTCGTTTTATACTGAACAGTAAAACAGAATAACAATTAGTTTCTCTGAATGCTAGTTCAGGAAAACAAGTGATTATCTTCTTCAGTTTACTACTCATACATAAATATTATATTTTGTCCTCTATTGGGTGGACAAAACATCTTGCAAATTCTACTTTTTGTGTGTACTTATTTCTTTCGCTAAACTGTCATTGCTTTTTAAGTTGATGCCAAAGTTGAAATGTCTTTGTTAACTCAAACTGACCTACCCACAGGGTTCTCTGCACCAGACTCTGATGCTGGCATCTCAACAATTTCCAGTACCTAATGTATGTGGGTTTATGTATGTTCCCCTTGTTCCTTTGCAACAACAAAGAATTGATAGGCATTAAACCAACTCAAAACTTACCTTGCAAATTTGGAAATACTCTGAAGTCAGGGTCTCCTGAATCTCCTCTCTAAGAATCCCTGCAGTTGCTCCTGGATGCAGGGAACCACTTCCAGCCCCACCACCACTGTTACTGCCACTGCTGCTACCACTGCCAGGGGAGGAGGCAGTTAAGCCATCCAAAACTTTTCGGAAATTAAACTTCTTCATTTTAAACACTGTTGAGAAATTCAAAGGAAAGAAGAAAGGGGCCACTTAACACATGGAATCAGATCAGGAAAAGCTTTTATCTTTTCATTAGCCAAGCCAATCTCCATTTTATGAGCATTGGCTATAACTGGGGAAGAAAAAGAAAAAGAGGCTTCATTTTGTCAAATTTGAATTCTTAAAAAAAAAAAAACACGTATCTTTATAAAATAAATAAATAAAACACAACTCCAAGAGCAACAGTATTCTCTCCTCATATATAAGATTTTCAAGGGCTTTCTCCCCAGCTGTAGCTACGCTTTATCAGCACTGGGGTAAAAATAAAAGGCAGTGTCATCATCGTCATTAGCATTATATCATCATTATTATACAATCAAACCAGAGTCCAATAGACTAAGACCCCCCTGTGTCTCTCTTAAAGGCGGGCTTTCTTCTAAAGGTTCAGTTCAGAATATTTTATTTCCAGAAAAACGATGTTGCGGGGGGAGCCAGTATTTACTCTGCCACCATCTTCCGGGCTCTCTCCCCATCATATTCAACGCTCTTTTTCTTACTAGAGAATTTGGGCAGTGAGGGGCAAAAGTGCCTTTTTCCGTCCCCAAACCCAACAGCCCGAGTCCCAAAATCATTTGGGGGTGACCCAGAGGCTCAGCCGACGGGAGGGGCGAGAGGCGACCACAGCTGCCTCCACTTGTCCCTCCACCTCCCCCTCCCTCTCCCGATCTCCTGCCCCCTTTTCTCCCCGCGTCGCTTGCTCCCACCCCCAGCCCGCAGCCCGCAGCCGCCGCGGCTCTCGCCCGCCCGCGGTCCGCTCTCTCCGCAGCAAGGTGGCGGCTCTCAGAGGACGTGAGGTGGTGGCGGCAACGGCTGCAGCCCGAACCCGACGCTCCGGTGTCCCTCCCCTGGGCCGAGCACCGTGGCGCGGAGCTCCCGCCCGCGGGAGCGCGAACACACAAACACCCTCACACCGCCGCGCGCCCAGCTGGAACACACACAAACACTCTCACAGATATTCTCGCGGGCGCACTCACACAAGCGGGCGCACTCACACAAGCACACGCGCGCGCGCACACACACACGTACACACACACAGAGACACACACAGGTGTGAGCCAGCCGCGGCTGGACGGCCGTGGCGTCCCTGCACGATGAATATCTGACCCAGGACTAGGCACCTTCCTCAGACGCCACTAGCCGCCTGCCAGCCCGGGAAGCTGAAGGCGTGTAGGGCGGTGAGCTCGCAGGCGTTGGTCCGGCCGAGCTGGGGCCGCTTCTCCGATCCCTCAGGTCGCGGCGCCAGGCGCTCTCCGAGGTCCTAACCGAGCAGGCGGGCTCCACCACAGGCTCCGCCCTCCCGCCGTGGGAGGCAAGCCCCGCCCCGATACGGCCCCTCTTTCGCCCCGCCCCCCCCTCCTCGGCTGCGCGGGCGGGGAGAAGGGTGGAGCGGTCTGGGACGTCAAAGGGCCGGAGCTGCCTTGCCGCCAATCCTATGCTCCATATCGCCAAGTTCCGTAGTCTCCAGGCGCGGAAGAAATTAGAGGATAGGCCGGAGAAAAAGCCAATGAAAGGGGGAGGGGAGAATTTAGAAAAGTAGGTGAGGTATTTGATTGACAGCAATTTTGGCCAGTACACCCCGGCGGTGCTTTGAGGGCTGTAATTGGTGCTACCTGTTGAAGGACGCAAGTGTAAATTAATAGAATGCTTGCAAACATGCGAACTGGATCGACTGGAGTCCGAGTCTGCAGAGCTCCCTTAGCTCCTGCTTTGGGTGATGTTATGAACTGGACATGTGTTTTGTAGCTTTTCACCTCCGAAAACCTCTTCCCGCTCGCCAGGTGCATCTATTGAGCTCTCTTCACCTACCCTGCCAGCTGCGCTCAACTTCTATTTGCGATTAACCTCTACTGAGCTGTTACCAATTTATGGCTTGACGGGTCATTTCTGCCAGAATGAATTGCATTTCAATTGGGTTTTGACATATGTAGGCTTGAAGATCCTAATGATTTGATTACTCACCTTGTTCACTCTTAGAAGTGCAATTACTCCTTTCAGTCATCTTCACATATCGAAAGTTAATTTTTAAGAGAAGTCTTTCTCTCAGCAAACCTTGTCGATAATACACTTCAAACTTTTTCTGTGAGTCACAATAATCATTTTGGAAGCTGCGCCATTGGGTGCAGTGCATCTGGATGGAAAGATGTCGTTTTGAGCACTGACTTGCTATCGAACTGGGGAAAATTTGGACCTAGTTCTGTCAGTCTGTGAAAAGGAAAGCTGCTCACAACTAACTGTATACTTCAGTTAGGGCAACACAACGGAGCTCATAAGTAATCATCTCAAATATTTATTGTCTTATATCTTACAGATCTAGAATGACACCTGTCCCCATCGCACCCTTCATTCAGAATGGGGGTGGTAGAGAAAGAAGACAACTTGCAAGAGATATGACTTGCCTAAGCACATAGCAAGGAAGTAGTAGAAAAGGAATAGAGCGCAGTTTTTCAGATCCTCAACTCAATGCTCATACTCCCATTTCGAATGTCTGTTTACTCTTTTTTGTGACTCCTTATACTGTCTCTTATTGTTACAACTAAACAGTAACTCTTGAAGGTAATCATGGGATTGTATGTCTCCTAACTTGTTTAGTATCTGGCACAATAATTTCCTTGTAATAGGCTCTTAAAGCATTTGAACTGTTGACTTATTAATGGTTATTAAAGACTTAAAAGATGGTACCCAATTATATCATGTTTGGGAGAGGTAAAAAACAAATGCCATGTCTATGTAACCTAGATCTTGGTAGGGTTTTGAATCCTATATTGGACTTACATATGTATGGACTCTCTTTCACCTTTTTCCTTCTTCTTGTTTTTTCTCCAAACATGGGTGCCAATTAAAGCTGAAGAGTTTGCTTTACTCTTTTTATGTCTTTTTTTTCTTTTCAAAAGGAAAAAAGTTTTTCTTAACTGTTAGTGCACTAAACATTTCTGTCTAGAATAATGGATTTAGATGCCCTCCTCCCCTACATTGGCAAGTCTGTCTGAGACTCCTTAATTGTCAAATAAATGAAAACTGAAAAAAAATGAAAGCCTATAAAAAGTGGTGGTCTGGTCTTTTGATGATGGTAAAGAAAGACAATACCCAGTACAGCAAAGTGAGATGTAATGTTTGCAAGCAAAACTCCTTAAATCACCCATCAGTAGCACCATCCTGTCATAAACTATTTATTTGGTAGGTTTGATTCAAAAACTTTGGGAATAGCTGAAAAAGAAAATGCATATAAAACAGGCTGACAAAGACTCTTCTTGAAAATATTGGAGGGAATTCAAGGGCCTGCTTCAGTTTAAAAGATGTGATAGGGCAGATATCCCTTCAGATGGGACCACAAATAGGTATGAAAAGTAAAAGAAAAGCCATGTTAGAATAGAAAAATGTTTCCAAATAAATATTAGAAGCCTGAAATCTAACCATTGTGGACAGCATAATGTATTATATATACTAAGCACCCAGTAAATATTAATTTTAATAAATGACAGCAAGTAAAAATCTTAAAGTAATTGCAATCTGAAAGAGAAATATCCTATGGGCAGAGCATATTGTGATGCCAATTTACAGACTATGACTAAAAGATAGAAATGAGCAAGAAGCAGAATTGATTTTGCATGTAGAGGAACCCCATAAATAATTGTAACCTAAAAATCTTACTAGGTGAGAGAAGCCTATATCTGTAGAAACAAATTCCATCTTGAATGAATCAAGATTTATCCAAAAGCCAAGGTGGAATTTATTCACATTAGCAAGTGTGAACATTTCTAATCTGCTTTCTGGGAGATACTGAGTCCTTCATTAAGCAACCTTATTTATCACTCAGTTCTGACTCAATCAAGTTATAGCCCAATCCTTATTATTTGCCAGTCTAGACATTAGAATTTCATTAAGAGAACACAGCTAAAAAGCCAGGATCCACCTATATCCTCTCTGGCAAATGTTTTCAAGAGATTTAAAAAGGTATCCTTCCTTCTTAAATCTTCATCTGACTTTTTTTATGACCCTATTATACATCCTTAAAAAGGGTACTGGTTATTAATTGTCAGTTTTCTATTATGACAGGAAATAGAAACCAGCATTAAAATCCCTCATTCAGCCTAGACCAAGCCCACAAAGGGAGAAACCACAGGGTTAATTAAATAATGTCATGGCTCTCATGGGTTTCAAACAAACAGGCAGGGGTCATTAGGATAGAACCAAAACACACAAAGTATGGCTCAGCATACAATCAATAACAGAATTGCAAACAGAACTGATGCCTTCCAGGACAAAACTCAAATATTTGCTATTAAATCTGTAATTAAAATCAGTTCTCTGTGCATATTCCAAAATAGATGTTCACATACTTACCTTGTGATATGGTAAGAGACGGGGATTTAGTGTTGGGACAGGCCTAAGTTTAATAAATGTGGTACTAACAGGTATCTAATCTCAACTTTCCCTTGTATATGAGAACAAATATAGGCTATTAAATGAAATTAGATATGTAAAAAAATTGTACAATACAAACCTCTTACAAACATACTATTATTTTCTTTCTTTTACTTTTGTGAAATCATCTGTGGGAATTGGCTTTAGACTGGAATTTTTTTCTCTTTTCTAATAATATAAAAGTTTTTTTGTATCTGAAGTTGAAACTGAAGGAGAGAATAAGGGCTTAGATTGGATGACCTTCAAGGTTTTTTTTTTCAACTCAAAATTCTGTCTTTATATAATTTGTTTAATCAAGGTTTACTGCACTGTCTCCCTAAACAGTAAAAAGCCTTGTTGAAAAGGTAATTAGATGGGTACCCATGTAAGCACCTAGCCAATAAAGATGAACTACAGCCCATAGTAGGAAAAAGCACAGGAATCCTCAAATGTGTCATTTTTACCAAACAGAGATTTCTGAAAGTGACATCTTTCTTAATGTTTCCACACAGGGGCATGTACATCTGACTATGAAAGTAAAATGTGCTTGTTACAGAGACTTTAGCAAGTCTATACATTTATTTCTAGTCCTTTTTAGGATCTTTTAAAACCAATTAGAAGTATCCAGGATATGCTGTTTTGATTTTCTTTGACTAAACATCTTGTTGTGAACCTCCCTCATTGCATTAAATATTCTTTAGGCACCTCAACTTTGAATGCCAATGTTATATTCAATCGTATGTATATTGCATAATTTATTCAGTCATTTCCATATTTGTGGATATTTTATTTATAACTTTATAACACTATAAATAAAAATGAAATAAATACTGTTACACTAAATAATTGATAAAGTTTCCATTTTAGGGGCTATGTAAATAATGTCCTCATTCATGATTCTTAATTTTATTTTTAAAAGATTTCACAAATGTATATCCTCATTAAGAGCAGAATTTTCTGTGAAGACTTGTTACAATGAACCTCTGTAAAATGAAATCTCATGCCACCTGCATTACTTTTTTTATTTAGATATTGACAAATTCAAAGAATTTTTAAATGGTGAGTGAGAATAATCAACACGACAGACCAGGAAAGCCTGACAAACTATGACATGTTACTGCTTGCGGCTTCAGTTTAGAGGGAGAAACTATACTAGATTTTATAAACTTTAAGGTTGGAAAGAAGCAGTAATCCATATTTTTAAAAAATGATAACACAAACTTCCAGTTTCATCAATAAATAAAAGTCATAGTTTTGTTGTATGATATTGTTATTTGAGAAGAAAATGAAAAAAAAATAAGAAGAGAGCTAAAAGGGTGAAGAAAGACTTACAGATAAATCTACAGAAGAATTTCATGGGAAAAATCAAATCTTAAAAAAGAATATTAGAAACTTAAAACGAGTTTCGATTTTTGTAATTACAGACAAAGTAAGTAGAGACGTGAACCCTTGGAATTTTCTATTCAAACTGAATCTTGGCAGCAAGATTCAGGCCACATATCATAGATTCTTTGACCTTGCTCTCAGATGATTAAAAACTACAAAGATTGACAGCCTCTCTTGTGCTTGAATTATAGAGACAATAGGAAACTATCCTTTGTAGAGCCAATCTCTCATTTCTGGAAGATTTAATTTACCATGACTCATGAAGATTGCACCAGTTTAAGTAGGGATATGTATTTGGTTTTGTGTTGGCAATAACGAATTTAATAATGCTATTACCATATTTTTTATGATGGGTAACAATCAGTTATGATGTTAAAACTTGGTGAGCTGGAGTTATAGCTAGCTCAGTGGTAGAGTGCTTGCCTCACACGCATGAGGCCCTGGATTCAATCCTCAGCACCACATAAAAGTAAATAAATAAAA